ACAAGCACATTTCTTCTCCTTTTCCAGGTCTTTGAGGAATGGAATAAGACAGAGCTGGACTCTTTCCTGATTGAAATCACAGCCAATATTCTGAAATTCAAAGACAGTGATGGCAAGTACCTCCTCCCAAAGATCCGGGACAGCGCGGGACAGAAGGGCACAGGGAAGTGGACAGCCATTTCTGCCCTGGAGTACGGAGTCCCTGTCACACTCATAGGTAACTGTTCCTCCACCTGGCTCCATCCTTCCCACTGCAGGTACCACACCCCAGTGAGGAGCTTTTTCTGGGTGCAGCTGTTCAGCTTTTTCTGCCCTGGTTTTGTCTGAGGGGCTTGTTTTTGCCTTGTCCCCTAAATGGTGGCACTACAGTTGTCACACCTGTGTCACACCTATGTCCCTGGTGTCCCCACAGCGCTGTGAGGACTTGGGGACAGGTGAGCATGAAGTGCTGTGCTGGGAGTGTTGTAAGACAGGAGCTGTAATACATCTGCAACACTTCTACAGTGCCCTAATACCACTGGTCCAGTGTGGGCTTCCTGTTGGGCAATTAAATGACTCAACAGGTTCTTTGCTCTCAAAATTGCTTTCATTTTCATGTTTCTCTTTCTCTTTTTCCTTTACCTTGGCTGGTTTTCGGTCCTGAAGATAAGAAAAATTATATTCAGTAGCTAAAAGAGAGTAACTGCAGTGTAGCTCTCAAAGAAACATGGGTGCATTCCAACAGCAGAACAGCTTCTGCAGATAGTTTTAATATTCTGCTGCTGCTGTAGTCTTTCAGTTCTGGGCCTGAAACAGTGTTTCTTTGTTGTGCTGTTGATATTGTGCTGTTTGGGGTTCTTGCAAAGATCAAGGGTGGAGGAGGCACTCCCTGCTGAGTGCTGTGCAGTGCCAGGAGCGTGGTTGGGTAATGCTGTGCTGATGGGGAAGTGTGTGCCATAGTCCTTGTGCAAACGTGGCCGCTCTCAGGGCAGTTGCTCTGTGTGGTTTTACTGCATAAGCATGACTTGCAAACTTGTGCTTGTAAGAGCAGAGTCATGCTACTCCTGCTTTTCCCTGCTTTCCCACCCCGCTGCTCCTCCCCACTGTAGAAGGAAGTTTTGGCAGAAATGGAAAGGAGCCAGTTGTGATTTAGTTGTGATATGCTAATCCTGCTGCAGGGAGGATCCAGAACCTTGTGCAAACATTACTCATTCTTCTTTTTCTGTTGTTGTTGATTTTTGGGGTGTGGTTTTTTTCTTTGATAATTCATGACTAACTAAAAAGGTGGAACAGAGATACAGTATGAACACTTGCTTGCTTTTCTTCTATCAGGCCCTGAAAGGAAAACTTTTTTTTTCTCTCCCATTTTACAATACTGTCATCAATTGCAAATAAATACTACTTAAACCAGCATGATTAGGAATTTACTGAGCCAGATCAAGAGACTGTCATTCAGGCTTTCTCTCTATGAGCTGAAGGTACTCCTATGTTAACTCCTTAGCCCTGACAAATGACATTTAGTAACCTGCTTAGTGATGTTATAAAACTTTCTAATGGGCTTCTGAATACTAGTTAGGGGCCTCCCAGTTTTATGAATCTTATTCCCCCTATAACCTGCTGATTTATCCTTGATTCTCCTTGCCCGTGTGACTGTGTTTCACTGTGTGTGTGGCTGATGGAGCAGTGACACTCGCCGTGTCGCTCTCAGACACTGACAGCGATGCTCAGCTTTCTGATGATCTCCCTTTCCTGCCCTGCCCGAAGGTGAAGCTGTGTTTGCACGGTGCCTGTCTTCCCTCAAGGATGAGAGAGTGCAGGCCAGTAAGCTGCTGGGAGGGCCCAAAGTGACTCAGTTCAGTGGGAACAAGAAGGCCTTCCTGGAGGACATCCGCAAGGTGAGTGCCTGTGCTGGTCAGAGCTGCCCACCAGAGCAGGTCTGGGGTGCTGGTGAGCCCTGGGGAGGAGCTCTCATGTTTATATTTTATATCAATCGGTTTCCTGTCTAGTGATGGCCACAAAGCACAATGTGACCTGTTCCTGACCAAAGAATAGTCCTGAGGGAATTCAAGTCTCGCCACAGTGGGCAGTGGTCACTGCCTGGGGTGCAGAGGTCATAATTCATGCACAGGAGCTTTTCTACCCCTCAACACTCCTGTCTTTGCAACGGGTATTGATCTCTTGATATCCCTCTCTGCTGAGACCAAGCTTTCCAACAACTAGAAAGGAAATTCTGGTTCTCAAATAGCTGGAATGTGTCAACTCACCCCTGTTGGGATGTGGACTAAACAGAACATGTGGACCATGAAGTTTCTAGTTCAACTTTGTGGGACTTCTCTTGGAATGTGACTTTGTTGTTTTTTTTTTTTTAGGCCCTGTATGCCTCCAAGATTATCTCCTATGCTCAAGGCTTCATGCTGCTGAGACAAGCGGCCAAGGAATTTGGCTGGACCCTGAACTACGGTGCCATTGCACTGATGTGGAGGGGAGGCTGCATCATCAGGAGGTAATTACGATGAGGAGGTAACTTGGTTGCTGAGGGGAGAAGAGCAGGCAGTTTAGTTTATGTGGTGCTTGGCTGACAAGCCAGGAGATTTCCTTGGAAAATCCACAGAGTTACTCTGCTGATGAGGAGAGGCTGTTTCTGTACAGAGACAGACTAAAGGTTACCAGATGAACTCTGTTCTGGTGGCTTAGAAAATCTGCTGCAGATTTTCTTTGGTCTTTGTAATGTTTGGAATCTGAGTCTAGCTGAGGGAAGTTTTGGCACTGTAAGTTTTAGATTCTGGGCCTTTGTTGAAAGCTGTGAAATTTATTCCTGGTTTACTTCTGCCTAGTGTGTTCCTGGGAAAAATCAAAGATGCTTTTGATCGAAACCCTGACCTCCAGAATTTGCTGCTGGATGATTTCTTTAAGACAGCTGTTGAAAACTGTCAGGTGAGTTCCAAGGAAAGGAGAGCACAGAAACAATAGTTTACAGCCTGGACTGTCATGGTTCTTCTCTTAAATTCTGGCCCAGCTACAACTGGAAACTGAAGGTTTCCATTTTACTGTTATGGAAGAGCCTTAGGCAGTAGCAATTTAGCAGGACCACAATATGAGGGAAGAATGCCTGGCCTGAACAGTGATGAACATTGTCATCACTGCCCTGTGCCCTTGGATTTCTGTTCCAGTACCATTGTTTGCAGTAGCCCCAAAACAACAGCGTTCCAGACCTGCTGTTCTTTGGGCCTGGGTCTGTCCAAACAGTGTCCTGATTTGGATGGAGCTGACAGGCAGAATTAAAACCAGATTACCTGGCCAACAAGGAAGTCTTATATTATCATTAATAACCCTTGTAACTGAATCTGAATATTCCATGCGAGTTACTGGATCAGATGAACAGTTGTACTGGGGATTATCCACATGTCTGTCTGAAGTATCGCACTGACCTCTTACGCCCCTGGGCGAGCTTTGTCCCAGGCTGGGGGAGAGGTCCTGGAAGTGCCTCAGTGTTTGCTCAGAACCCTGCTGGGTTTGTGCTTTTGGCATGTTCTGATCATGTTGATGTGAAAGAACGGCATCCTTGCTCGAGGCTGCGGTTCGACTGCTTGCCTCAGCTTTTACTGTCCTGTTGTTAACTTTTGTATTGCTTGCCTTTATTTTGGACCAACCTGTTTATGTAAAAGCAGGAATCTACTGCTGGTTTGCAGAGACTTGGTTATTAGATTTGATAGAATGTGAAATAGCACACAGTTGTACTAAAATAGTTCATGTGCCTGCACGTACCTCTGAGCAAGCACTGATTCGTTTCTTCTTTCTTTATTTCCCCCGTTTTCCTCTCTCCCAGGACTCCTGGCGCCGTGTGATCAGTACTGGAGTACAGATTGGAATCCCTATGCCCTGCTTCACCACAGCACTCTCTTTTTATGATGGATACAGGCATGAGGTACTGCCAGCTAACCTGATTCAGGTGGGTACTGAGATACCATCATGTTGTTATTTAGGCACTGCTTTAAAGGCCTCAGTGGCAGTATGTTGTGTTTCTACAGAACTCCTAATTACTAGATGTTAATAAATGTTTCATTGCAGTGATTTTTCTAATAACGAGGAAATAAATTTGAATGTTATGATATTGCAGTCAGATCTTTTTTCTCGTATTCCTGTAGTCGAGTACCAGTAGGTGCCACTTGTAGTGCTCATATGGCTGTGATATCGATGTGTCTGTTTTGTGTGTTCTCGTTGCAGGCTCAGCGGGATTACTTTGGTGCACACACATACGAATTATTATCGAAGCCAGGGGTATTTGTCCACACTAACTGGACAGGCCATGGAGGAAATGTGTCCTCTTCTGCCTACAACGTCTAATGGAAATCCTTCCACTTGAAGCCAAGATACTGTAGATCTCAAATATTTCTCCTAGAAATCACTTTTTACTGTACTGTGCTAGAACTTGTGTTTGGACACTTTTGTAATAACTTGTGGGTATATTTCATATATATATATATATATGTATATCTCAATATATATATATCATAGAAGAAAGCTAAATAAATTTAGTTATAAATGTATGGAGATGTTTTCTTTTCACTACTGCTGCCTGCCCAAAATGTCTTTTACCCCAAATCTCCCTGATTCTTTGCCTCTTCTTCCCAAGGGGGCAATTAAAAATCCCCACAGTTGGCTCTGTTTTATATCTCCTCCCTGCAATGCTACTGCCAGTCATCTCCACGACTTCTGAAAATTCACCTGGATGTCTGAACCTTTCGTTCGTCCCTCAGAAGCGTTAAATCTTCCCTCTCAAGCGTTAAATTTGGTGCTGCTCGCCGATTTCTGTAGCAAATTTTTTTTTCTCCATTTATTTCTGCCAAGGCAGCTACTTATAATCGAACATCTCTGTGCGGCGAAACACGACCTTCCCTTTCAGCCGGCTTTTCGGCAGGCCACGCAGTAACATTTGGGATTTCCGTGAGATAAACGAGCGTGGCGGGTGCCGGAGATCGGCGGGCTCGCGGCTCCCCTCACAGCGGCCCCGGGGCGGGTCCGACATGGCGGCTGCGCGGCCCCGCCCCCCGCGCTGCGCGGGAAACTCTGAGGGGGCGATGATGGCGGCGGCGGGCGGAGAGGAGCGGCTGCTGCTCACACAGGTACCGGGTGGCACGCCGGGCTCGGGGCCCTGAGCCACCGCCCGCAGCCGGCTGGGGTGGCCGAGAGCAGAGCCGCTGTGTCAGTGCCTGCCCCCGCCTTGGTCCCTGCAGAGGCTGAAGGCGGCGGTTCACTACACGGTGGGGTGCCTGTGCCAGGAGGTGGGGGAGGACAAGGACGTGCAGTTCAGCAAACAGAGCATCGCGGCCATCTCAGAGATCACCTTCCGACAGTGCGGTACAGTCTGCGTTACCTGGGGTTACATGGGTTACCTGGTGATACGTGGGTTACCTGGGCTTACCTTACCTGGGCTTACCTGGGTTACCTGATGCTACCTGGGTTCCTTGGGTTACACCTCCTGGGTTCGGGAGCCACTGCTGGAGACACGGGGCTTAAAAATAATGGCATCGAACTAGGTGTCACTGGGGCGTTCCCCTGCTTTGTGCATTTAACAGTACAAGAAATAGCGTTTCTACTTTTCAGACCTGAAAAAAGCATCCAAGTGCCTGTGGAAATACTGTGCCTGTGCAAGAGTGGCACCCAATAACCAGCTGTGGTCACGTCTCATAACTGACTTGGATAACTTGCACTTCATACCTTTGTAACAGCTGTTGTGTATTATGTATCTCTTCCCACTCAGCATTTTAAAATATGCGTCATCTTTGTGTTTTCTCCAGAAACCTTTGCAAGAGACCTTGAAATGTTTGCGAGGTAGGCACTAGCTGTTACAAAAGCTTTCTTCTTTCGTGTTAGCTCCCAGATAATCTTTAAAACACGTAATTCACAGTTTTTAAGTGTTCTGTTGTCTGCTTAAATAGTGGCTGTGAAGTTAGGAAATAGATATTCCCTGCAGGTGCTTCCTGATCTTGGAAGCCCATTTGTGGGGCACAAGTCATTGTTTAGATTAACGAGTGTATATAATTGTCAAAGGCAGTGAGACACAGCAGTAGTGGATGGTTTGGGGGTGACAGTGTTGGTAAGCATGTTAAGGGGTGTTTTTATTTTATGCAGGCATGCAAAACGAAGCACAATCAACACAGAGGATGTGAAGCTTTTGGCTAGAAGGAGCAGCTCTTTGGTGAGATTCACTGTATTTTCTGTCTCACAACATTCTTAAACCAGTTCAGAGCATTTGAATGAAGGTTATAGATGATGAAGCAACTGTTGCCACATTACCACAGGGGTCATGGAATCATTGCATTCCCTCTTGGGCTGGTCCATGTAAAGTTCAGTGGATTAAACTCACTAATGTTATGACATACCTGTACATGGAACCATGAAAAAGGAAGCTTCCAATACTGATTTTAATTTCATGTGAGGAGATTTTTTCCTTTCATATGTGATTTGAAATATGCAACACGAACTTGCCTGAGAAGGCAGAGTAAATGGGTTTTTTTAGAGTCTGTCATCTTTCTTCTATTAAGAATTTGCCCTATTACTTTCTCTTCAACGTTTCTCTCTAATTTCTTGTGAATAAATGAAATTCTTGAGTAGAGGACTGATGAGTTTATTGTTCTCAGCTAAAATACATCACCCAGAAGAGCGATGAGCTTGCATTGAATAACATGGAGCAAAAGGAGAAGAAGAAAAAGAAGTCCAGTGCAGCCAAGGGAGAGAGAACTCCAGGGGAAAAAGAAGCAGCTATGACTGAAAATGAAGACTCCAACATGTCATGATCTACCTTTCAAGTAATGCCTCAGGTCAGCTTCTCTTAGTATCCTAGAGAAACCAGAATTAGTAAGATTCCTATGTAAGATTCCTCTTGCAGGTTAACACCAGTAATGAATCTTTAGGTTTTTAGGTGAACACGATGAGTTAGATTTTTATTGTTCCAGAAATGCAAGTTCTGTCAGAATTCAGTAAAGCTTATGCCCAAGATGCCTTAATTGCTCACAAAAGGTATCTGCTACTAAAATTAAAAGCCTTTAAATAAAGAGTTTAAAGCAGAACATTCTCACTGAACTGTAAAAACTCGGTATGTGCAACACCTTCCATGCTGCTACTCAGTTTCTCCAGTAACTGTTTGACTTCCTCCTTGCTTCCAGTCTGGATACTTTTGCTCAGGCATACTGAATATTCTGGTTTCGTTTTAACAGCCAGGTCTCTTACTTGTTGCCTTGACAATTTAAAGATGTTTTGTGCCATTTCCCACCTGTGACAGTGCTGGGGTATAATCTTTGCTGTCAGTTATTCCCATTTTCAGGTGGCACTGTGGCACAGATCCCCATTGCCCTCTGCCAGGCTGGCAGAGCCTCTAACGAGTGCTGTAAAAAAGAGCTGTCAAAAAGAATCCAAAAATAATTTGATTCAAAAGAAGCAGATTTAAAGATGTAAGTAATTAGAAATAGCCAAGTGAAATGAGAAGGCTGTGTGGGCCAACTTGATCCAGCAAGAATTAGCTTGCCAAGGATAGTCCAAAATATGCAGCAAGAGAGGAAAGACTTGAACACTGTTTCTCTTGCTCAGCCTTTGATTCATGAGACAGACTCTTCCCTGAAGTCACTTATTCCTTCCTGCAGGATACAGCTTAGGCCAGCTCCTCCAAACCAAGATTAAAGTCATCAGCTTCTCATTTTAGTTAGACTTTTAGATTAAACACTCTCCCAAGATAAGGAAAGTACCAGATGATAGAATATTTCTGATTGAACTTGAGACGTTCTAGGTGTAGCCCTGCTCTGTGTTTGAGCTGTTTAAGCAGGAGTGATAGGGAAGATCCCATGCCTTTTGTAGGCTGTAACCATCCAGCATTGATCAAATAAAATCAAGTGCTGCAGTGCAGAACAGGGGAATGTCATGAATCCCCATCTCATTTTACACAATGGCTCTTCCATGCCCTCCCTTTCCTCCATTCCAGACAGTTCCACTTTCAGGGATGAGATTTCTTTTAGAAGAATTCAGCACATTAATTACAGCAGCTGGTGGAAATATCACAACTAGCCCAACAGTGAGATAAAAAGCTTTTATTGATATTAGAAAAAAAGGCTTTAACAAATTGAAAAATAAGCCAGTTAGTACAAAAGCATCATGATGCTACACTAATGATTTAGGAGAATAACACAGCAGGCCAAATGCAAGTCTTCTGTCACACAGCCCTACAAAGCAATTATTTCCACCTTTGCTGTGTTTTACGAGTTAGTTCTTACACAGCACCCAAGAGAAAGCACTGAAGTGAAAGGACTTTGAATTTCCTTTAACTGATGAAATCAGTGTGAGAACTCAAGTTCCTGGAGCCTAAAGCCAGGCAGCAGCTGGTTAAACCCTCTGCCCTGTTCACAACTATGTCCCAAAGTGTCTCCCAGGGATCTTCCACTGAAAAGGGAGAGGGGACAAGGCAAGCAAAGTGCCCGGGGCCTCAGGAGCTGCAGCCACCAGTAGCAGATGGAAGCTTCTGGCTCCCAACTAGGCTTGCAGAGCTGAACCCTTACATGCTGTGTTTAGCAATACCATTGTTCCAGCATTCTGCAAAAAGTCAAAATCCCTTTGGTCACACGTGATTTGAATCACCCCAGGAGTGTAAGCCTCGGGACAATGTCCAGATTTCCCCTGCCCATGGCCAGAGCGCAGGATGCCCAGCACGCTCTGGCTGGCAGGACGTGTGTTTGCTGGGGTGGATTCTAAGGCAGGAGCAGGGCTGAGCTGCCAGCAGCAGTGCAGGGTTATTTTTTGCGTTTTGAGCTGGGCCAGTCCCCCCAGGGCAGGGTTTTCTTGCCCTTGGACGTGCTCCTCAGGGAATGCAGGGCCTGCACCTGCTGGAGGCGCTTGGACAGCTCCTGCTCACAGGCTGCCTGCAGAGCTGCAGCCTTCTGCTTGTCCCATCCCAGAGCCGAGGCCAGGGCTGCTCTGTCCTCCTTCAGCACCAGCTGTAGGAAAGCAGATTTCTAAGTCTTTTCCACCGACTCCCCCACCCCTCACCCTCTGCCCACATGAACAGCAGCAGGAACGAGGCACCTGTTTAGCACTGACACTTTGGAACTGAAGATATTCCCAGATTTCATCACCTATTCCATGGGCTACTGGATCTCCAGTGTTCTGCCAGCACTCAGAGCTTGAAGCTCTGTTCAGATGTTCAAAGGAACAGAAACTTAGTTTCTACAGCAGGGAAAAGCAACAGTTTGAAAAGGATACCTGTTTATGATGGTTACAGTTTAGCTGGGCTTTCCCAGCTGTGGATTTTATTTGTAGTTTTCAATAATAATGAATTGTTGATTTGGGATGTATAAAAGAATATAGTATATAGTTAGATGCATCTGCATACAAAAACTCACCCTGCTGGTAAGACAGCTGACTGTGATCTGTCAGAGACCAAACCCCAGATTATTTTGTGGCTTTTTTGGAGTATGTGAAACAGTGTCAGCTGGCTGACACAGAGGGGCTGCAAGCAGGGGGTAGAGGCACAGCTTCCCCTACAGCCTCTCTCTCCAGAGGGAGAGGTTTTCTTGGATGTGGCTGTGTCATTCTCACCCACCTCTAGGTCCTGGCTGTCCAAGCAGAGCTCTGGAGCAGGTTTCTCCCTCAGAGCAGCCAGGATCTGCTCACTGAGGGCTGTTGTGGCTGGAGTGCCTGTGCTGCTGGTACCTGTGTCAACCACATCCATCTCCTTCCTTGGTGCAGCCTGAGGTTCTGAAAGGGAGCAGAGTCAGTACAGTCCCTGACAAGTGGCCTGCACTGCTTTGATGGTTGTGAGATTAAGAAATCTTAAGAAATCCATAATGCCTACGTGATTTAAGCTTTTCTCCAAGTGTTCTGCTTTCAGGCATTGTGAGAATTCTCTCACCAGGTCAGAGAATTCTCACACCATATGCACTACACCAGCTCTTGCATCAACCCCACTAAGAGCTGCTGAGCAAAAGACTCACTCCAGTCCTTCACCTTATTTATTCCACCAGCTATTTCAGGCATCTCTGGGAAGCTCCTTCTGCAGCATCCCCGTGCTCCCTACCTGCTACTTTGCTTAAGACACTGTCCTCAGTTTTCAGGGCCTCCAGGTAGAGCTCCAGGAGCTGCCTGGACTGACGCTCCTCTTCTCTTCTGTCCAGCACCTGCTGCAGGGTGTCCTGCAGCACCCGCGCCTTGGTTTCACTCTGGGCCAGTTCTGCTGCCAGGTCTGAAGGGGGCACATCGATCAGCACCTGAAAACAATGCCAGTGCTGAGCAGCTCATGCCATGGCACTGAATGCAGTACCAACAGCAGGGACCAGCCCTCCTGAAACCCAGCATGGCCCACAAGGTTCCTTGTGAAGCCACTGTTCTTCACCAGAAGCCAAAAGGCCTCCAGGGACAGTCAGGGGTTAAGGGCACCCTCCTCAGACACTGGAGTGTTTCCCCTACCCCAGAGATGTGACCTGGCACCAACAGCCACACAGCAGCAGATGAATTAAGCTGAGATCTTGTTTACTGGTTCTGTTCTCTACTGAGATGAATGGATGATGGGCAGAGCCAGGGATTGGGGGTTTCCCCACTGTACCTGGAGGTCTTCCTCAGACATCAGGATGATATTGGACAGGTCACCCTTCAGCTGCCTGGCCAGCTGCTTCCACTTCTCCGCAGCACTGTCCACTTCATCCACAGCCTCCGAGAGCCAGGATGTTCCACTGTCTGACACAAGAGTCATCAGCTCCCTGGGCCACTCCTGACCCACCCGAGGCAGCCTAATGTCACCAGGTGTATTCCAGACACCCTCCCCTCCCGTGCTCCCTCACCCACAGCCTACCTAAGCTTTTGCCTGACCATTTCTCATCCTTGGCCAGTGCCACAAACTTGGTGTTAGCTGGCAAACACAGGAAGTAATCCTCATCATCCACAATGGTCCCATCTTCTGCCAGCACCAAGGTGATGGGCTCCTTGGCCTTGTCAATGGCCAGAACACCACAAGCTGCACAACAGAAAAAAAAACTTAATTAAATTACAAAAGTGACCCAGCAGTGCCCTTTAATTACCCCCCGGCACAAGGCACAGGCAACTCTCAGTGACTGAGGCTGGAGCCCAGACCTGTCTCCTTACAGCTCTTCTTTAGCACAGGCTCCCCTCCAGAAATTAATATTAGAATCACAGAATCACGGAATCCTCAAGGTTGGAAGAGACCTTTAGGATCTCCCAGCACTGCCACTGTAACCCCTAAACCATCACCCAGCGCCAGATCCAGACACCTCCCGAACACCCCAGCGATGGTGACTCCACCGCCTCCCCGGGCAGCCAATTACAACATTGGCCTGAGTGGGAAAACAACCCAGTGTTTTCCCACCTCCCTCCGCATCCCCCAGGAGCCCCGGGGGCTCAGCCTGGCACCGCGGGAGGGTCCGGGATCCCCGGGGCTCCCGCCGGGCTCACCCTTGTCCCGCAGCTCCCGCAGGCAGGACGCGCCCACGCCGTGCTGCTCCGGCCCGTCCCGCCGCCGCACCACGCAGCGCTTCAGCCGCGCCGCCATCGCCCGGCGCCGGGCGATGCCCCTGCGGGCAGGGAAGGCGCTCCTGCCGGGAAGGGCAGCGACACGGCCCGCGTGTCCCGGCTGCTCCCCGCCGCTCCCGTCACCCGTGGGTGCTCCCGTCACCCGTGGGCGCTCCGCGGGGCGCAGCGATGAGCCGGCGCTCGGCTCGCCGCGCCTGCGGGAGGGGAGGGGAGGGCGCTGCATCCCGCGCTCGGGGGTGGATTGGGCACGCCTGGGAAGATGGCGGCGGCGGAGCGAGCGGAGCAGCCGGGGCAGGTGAGGGGGGTCCGAGGGGACGGGCCGGGCTGGGGGGTCTGGGGGACCCGGGAGGGCTCTGAGGGGCTCCGGACACACCCTCCAGGCACCGCGGGGGCCCTGCTGCACCGGGGATCCCTGCCCTCTGCGAGCGGGGGCTGTGCGGGGCTGGCTGGAGCAGGCCGGGCCCTGGGCACAGGCGCGGTGCCATTGAGGGGCTGTGAGTGTGAAAGTCATAAAGCGGTTGGATAAAGGGAGAAATGAATGCAAACATAGCCAGGGAGAAAGGACGCGGTGTGCTAGGTGGGTTACGAAATGAGGTGGAGCCCTGTGCAGGGCGGAGGGTTGGACTCCTTGGGAGCCCCTTCCAAGCCGGAATGTTCTGGGGTTCTGTGAGGAGTCAGACAAAATACTGCCCGTGCCTTGACCTGAAGGGGAGGGAGGGGGATCCCGGAGCGTGAAAGGGCAAAGCAGCGATAGATGTGCCGTAAGAAACTGGTGTCAGATGTGCTGGCAGGCACTGAACGGGGAGGGCCGAAGAGAGTGGTTTGAGTGCTCACAGAACACTAAAAAGCTTAAGGTGTTTTTTAAACTGGGGCATGAAATGAATGGGGCAGCCCGAGAGAAGGGAAGTGCGATGTAGTTGTGTTTAGTATATATTGTAAAAAGTCTCTTCCAGCCTGGATTCCATGGGATGGGTTTGATGTAGGAGTGCACAGTGTAGGCTCCTGTCACTCTCACTGTGCTGCTGATGATCCAGGATCACTTGTATTCCGCTGCAAACTCAACCCTCCTCAAATTCATTGACCTCCTGGAGCTCTCTCACCTCCCCCATGTCCCAGACAGAGTCCTGAGAAGTGGTGCTAGGGAAATTGGGGAAAGTCCTTTTGGTTCCCCAGGAGGGAGGGAAAAGGTCTGGTCTGGCTGTTTGAGAAATTGGGGATAAAATATAGCAAAGTCTGCACACTTTCATGTGCAATCTCTGCCCAGATTTGGCCAATTCACCATGAACCTCTCTGCTGACCCTTTCATTATGGACTGAGGGAGCCGAGTTTGTGGGGATCACTGTTGAGCTAAACTGAAATGGAAACAAAATTCCATAAAATCCATGCTCTTGGGTAAGCAGCACAGGTCTGGGTTGTGAAAGGCCCTGTTACCAAACTCCCAGGAGGCTGGGCAGCTTTGCACCACCCAGCTGCTTTCAGCAGTCCCAGAGTGAGGTGCAGACATTCCAGTCCGTCCCTCACACTTCCAGGGAACGCTTTCAGAGCGAGGAAACCTGCAGATACCTGGGCAGTCTGCAGGGTTGGCACTTGCTGAGGAAGAAATGTGGTTGACTGGCAGATGTGGTTGCCTGAGAAGCACTGGGTTTCTCCTGAGCTCAGATGTTGTGTTCTCATATTGCACTCTTCTTTAGCAGACATCTATGTGGTGTTGCTGCAGCTCAAGAGAAGGCTTGGTGTTTGCAGTTGGAAAAGTCTTGCCTTTTAATGGGCCTCAGAAATGTAGCCAGAGAACCCCCTGGGTTCTAAAGTTAAGGCCATGAAGGATCGTGGAATGGTTTGGGTCAGAAAGGACCTTAAAGATCAGCCAGCTCCAACCCCCTGGAACTGTGTCCACAGTGGAAAGTGGGAATGGTAACTCCCACCTGTTGTGTAACGTGGAGAGTTTTTCGGGCATGGGCTGTACAGAGCAAGGTGGAGGTAATGCCTGTGCTGCTCTGTGAGTCAGGGAGAATTTGGGATGAGGAGAAGAGAGACCTGTGCACCACAGAGAGCCCATTCCCGGGCTGAGGAGGAGGGAGGGGATCTGGAGGCACCCCGGGTGGAGAGGGTCAGTTAACTGGATAACTGCCCAGTTCCTGCAGGAGTGCTGGATTCTCAGGCAACAGCAAGTTCCTTGCACTGCCTTTGGCTCCTGGCCTGACCTCACCAGTGGCAGAGTTTGTTCCAAGGGCAGCTCTGGCTCTGCCCTCCCTCAGGCCTGGGGGGCACCCCTGGAGTTGAGCTGCAGGGTCACACACTGACAGTGTCCCTGCACACACAGCCCCAGGAGCAGCTCTGCTCCTGCAGGAGCTCCCCTCCCTCCCCTGTGCCTGGGAGGGGCAGGGGGGCTGCTCTGAGGTGCCTGCTGAGCACAGATGGCACCATCACCATCTCCCACTGCTGCACATCCCTCATCCACAGCTCCAGGAATGCTCAGTGCTCTCAGACTCTGTGGGCTTGGGTGGGATTTGAGGGAATCTTGTAGCTCTGGCAGGAAGAAGGGGGTGTGACTGAACCATACATAGCACAGGAGGTGAGTTCTCAAGGGGACAATTTTGGAATCGGACAAACCAATGAAAATCTCTCTGTGAGTCTCACAGTGTGTAAACAGCGCTCCTCTTACACAACCCTTGCAGCTCTGACACTGTTATCAAGGCCTGTGGAAAGTTGTCCCCATTGCACACTAAACGTTTAGAGAATCTAATAAAATATTTGCTTTCTGCCACGGGTGATGTTTGTTTATTTATTGCCAGGCTTTCAGCGTGAGGCTGTGAGTGGTGGCACTGCCTCGCTTAACTTGTTTATGTTCGGGTCCCATCATGTTTCCTATTACAAATCGAGTTAGTTTAGATGCTGGAAAGGGAGTGTCAGATGTCTTATGGCTTATTATCTGTTTTACTTAGTTTAATTTTCTCATTCTCATGAATTAATATATTGCCTCAAGCACTGTGGGGAGGGGGGGGGAGCGTTGCAGCTCAAATGAAATCATTTACGGAGATAGAATTATCTTCTAAAGGCAATAAACGTTTCTACCAGGGATTTTAAAATACTTTGTTTTGTTTAGAAATCATCTTCCTTGGGCCTTTTAGTAAAACAAGCAGAAGAAAAGATCCTATCTCTCTGTTACTGTTCTTTATAGCAGCAGGATGATGGTGCAGCCTGTGAACGGAATAACTGATTTCTTGGTCAAGTTCTCATCTTGTTTTCTTTCTAAAGCTTCATTATACTCCCTTTGGGTTGAGTCTTCCATGTAGCTGGGTGTTTTCTCTGTGTGAGGAAGTAGTTAAAGCAAATTTCAAAGGTGTTGGAAATAGCTGATTTGTTGCTCCAGAGACTTTAATTCCCCATGTGCGTTGTTAGTCAGTGTACAGGTGAATTTTCCTCCCCACCTGCCTGTAGCTCTTGGCTGTTCAGCCTCTGGATTCTGTGCCTGAAAGGATGGTTTTCCTGGTGCAGGTAAATGGTGTCTGGACTGGGATGTCCCTTGTTTTCATTAAACACAGGCTGGGAAGGATGACATCTTCCCTGCCTTGTCCTGCTTGGGGGAATTTCCCAGTTTGGCCAAGTTTTGTCTGGAGTGACGTAAACACTGGTGCAGCCCCTTGGGGCAGGGCACAGGAGCTCTGGCACTGAGGATGCTGTGGGGATTTTCTGAGGATATGAATTCAGTGGTGGTTTCTTTCTCTCTTTCATTGTTGCCTTTGCTGTACAGAAGAGCACAACACGTAGATTCTTAGAAAACTCAGCACTTAATAAAAGTGGTTTGATGGAACAGTTCCATGGAAGTAGTGAACAGTTATAGCTACTTTTCTGAATTGTTCAAGACAAATTTTGTCTGTGCTGCTCTTTTTCTCTAAGCAGTTCTGACCCCGTGCTCCCTGAATTTGAGGAGAATCATTCCTCTGACTGTGCTGTGAATCAGGCCCCAATATTTTGGAGTATTGATCATTAACAAGGTACCCGTGTTAGTCCTGGGATTTGGCTGAAGGAATAAAACACAGCACACACACCAAATAAGTTTATCCACAACCTCAACAGGTTCAGTTACCTTATTAATAAATCATCCAAGCCATATTCTTGTGCTGATTCCCACATTTTCCATATTTTTGGAGGAGTGGATGGATCTTGAGGCTGATCATTATTTCTCTTCCATCCAGCTGAAACAGATTTGAAAGCAGATGTTTTGTGCATGTGAAGTCAGTGACAGGGAGAAGTGCCCTTTCCTTGCTCCCAGTGTGTGACTGCAGGGTGGTGTTGAAGCTGATATTTGCAGGGGTTGTGTCAAGTGATCCCAGGGAATCCCTGCCCGGCAGTGAGGTCTGGCTGGGCCCTGGTGGTGATCCTCGTCTGGGAGCAGAGGAGTTGCAGGATATTTGAGTTTCTGGCACCCTCTTGTGGTAAAAACTTGGTTTTATACTTTTTTTTTCTTTTTTTTTTTTTCCCCCCCTGTATTTTGTAGATGGGAAAGAACCCCAAATTTGAAATACTTTGAAGGTTTGGAATATTGAATAAAAGTGATGAATAGAACCAGAGGACAAAAGGTCCCTTAAGGACCTTAAATGGGTTGCCTTTTCTCTAACTGAGCCTCAAAACTTGTTGTCATTACTAATCAAAGTGCGTTTTTGCACCATTGAGTGCACACCTGTGGCTCAAGTCTAGTGCAGTGTTTGGCTGCCTGTCCTGCTGTGAGCAAATGGTTTCTCTTTCCTGCAGTTCACCACTTGTCCTGGTGGGCAAGGTAAAGTGTTCAGCATCTGCCCTAAAACTGCATCTCTTAACTGTGTGTGGGAAAGAGGGATGGTCCTGGTACTGTGACAGTTTGTGAGGTTTGGTTAAATCGTGGTTGCTTTGAAATCTTTCAAACAATAGTGCAGAAAACAAAGGGTGCATTAGTGGATCATGGAGATGGGAGAAGTGTTTCAGAATTTGGGTTTGGGTGGCCACTGCTTTCATGCCATCTCTCAGGAGTCTCCCTGGCTCTCACTGCTGTTCCCTCAAATGAGTTCTGCAGGTTCTGTGAGTTCTCTTGTTTTAAATGGGGTCTGCTGGAATTAAATTTTTTTTTTTTTATGCTTCTGACCTCTTCAGTCTTAAGTCCTTCGCAGAACTGCTGCTGGTAGCAGAGACAAGGGTGTCTCCTTAACAACCAGGCAGCGTTTCTGAGGGTGTCCATGGGGTGGCAATGTGAGCTCACTGCTGTGTTTGTGTTCCAGGCTGGCTCCTGCCCTGCCACGGAAAACGCCGCGTCTCGGGAGCCGCTGGTGAGTCCCTCAAGAGGCAACATTCTTGTTGATAACATAACACACAGGGGTTGTTCTGTTTGCTGCATCATTTTTCATCCGTTGTGTTGCTTTCCTGAGGAGCTGGTGCTTTGTGGAAAGGTGTGAAGTGCTGTAGGTGGCCCTGCTGTTGTGTGAGTTCTGACCCAAAGCCATCCCCTCCCATCTCCTGGGTTAGACACGGCTCAGCTGGGCCACCGTGCTGGCCCTGAGCACAGACTGCCTGTCCTGAGTGAGTGCAGTGTGTGCTCCTGTTCAGTGCTTATTTAGGAAAGAATTTGAAGAAATCCCTGGGCAGCATAATTTAAACTGAATTCTTGGTGCTATTGTCTAATAAAAACCCCTCTGCTGCTCAGAGACCTCATTCACGCTGTCTTTATATTCAGAGGCACTCAGAGTGAGCTTAGAAGTGTTTGTCAGCTGGCAGTGCATGTGATCCAATGTTTTTACTCCAGAAGCATTTTGGAAAGGGCTCTGGGATTTTTTGTGTATGATGATAACTAAGAGAACCCTGTTTTGGTTGCTCTTTTATGGTGACACAGAGTGGGAAGTGGGCCACTAGTCCTGGAGCTGCAGTAGATTGTTTTTTACAACCTTGTTTTTCCTTTCTTTCCTTCCTCTTTAGCCATCTAGAACTCGGTCAAAAACCTTGCCAAAATTCTTAGCCAATGTTATTGTCCTAAATTTATAAATGTCTGAGTTTCTTCTCTGGCTTTCATTTGTTGATCACAGTGAATACAAGGGGCTTGCAGGGAGAGCGCTGAGAACACTCGTGGCACTGGCCACATCAAAGAATTTTTACCTGGGGACCCCAGGAGATGGTTTTTAAAGGAGAAAGATGTGAGCAAAGGTTGTGGACTGGGAAGGGTCAGTAAAATGCAAGGGCTGTTTGTGGATTCTGTGAAGCTCTGCAGTGACAGTCTCTCTGTCTGGTATCACTGTGCCATCCCTTAACTGCATGGATATCTGTCTGTGGGATTACCTGGAGTTGTTACTGACACTGTGTGCCTTGTGATGGATTTGGTGGTTTGCTTTTGGGGGGTTTGGTTATCCCCCCATCCTCCCTCAGGAAGGTCACAGCAGGCAGCAAATCATCACAGCCTGTGCTGGTCAACAGTTTGTTCTTTCTCAAGGCAGGTTCTACTATTACCTTTGACTTCATTAATTTCTTACTGTGTATGTGACTGGAGAATTGCTCAGAGGAAGCACAAAGCACTTGTGTATCTTTCTGCTTGGGTGGATATTCCTACTACATAAAATTATTTGTGCACTCAAAGAACTCCAACATAAACTTTACTCTCACCATGGTGAGTCTTACACATCAGCTAATTAGAGCCCTTTGAAAGGCTGAGGTTTCCTCTTTATTTTTTCATTAATTTTTTTTTTTTTTAATAATAATAACAAACTCTCATAGTCTTTGTCACATCTGTTTAGGAGTCATTATTGCTTCCAGCTGCTCCTCTCTGCACGCCTTATGAAATAAACAGTGCAGCCCTGTGAGCCAGATGACCCGACTTCTATCACCCTGCCGAGGGTTCCCCACAGGGAGGATTGGGCACAGTGCCCTCCACACACACAGGACACCTTGGGCCCTGAAACACACCTGCAGGCACAGGGTGCCCTGTCAGAAAAGTGTTTGTGGAAGGCCCGAAGCAGAACTGGGGCAGGGATCCAGCCAAGGGGGCTGTGTGGGGAATCTACATGGTGTATCAATCCTCGGGGGTATCATTCTGGCCTTCAGGTTGGGTGGGAGGCAGTTGGAGACTCCAGAGGAGGGAGAAAAGAGTGTCATGGCCAAATTCTGCTCTGCAGCTCCTTGTCTTTTTTGACTTGATTGTGACAGGGCTGTTTGGAACATACCAGCACACAAGGGCGAGAAAGCAGCAGGGTTAAACCACCTTGCATTGTATCAGCAGATGTTGTTATCGGTTAAAGCTGGGTTTGTCTTGTGTTTCTGATTCCAGTGGACCCTGTGTCCTGCGAGGTGCTAAACACCTCTGCTCTGTGCTTGGGGGCACTGACTGTTGCCTGCTCTGGACTGCTCCCAGCAGGAATCCGGGACAAGCTGTGATTCTGGTGGTTTGCACCAGGATTTCAGCACTCTGCAGGGTCCTGCAGCAGACAGTCTGACACGTCACACCGTGTCCTGCGTTTGGGTCTCCCAGGATTCCTTGTTATAGGCCCTTCAGGAGACAGCCCCACAAGCTCAGGTCACATCCCCAACCGCTTTTATCCCGCCCACTTCCGATATTTTGAGCCACCAGCAGGCGATAAGGGACTCCACGTCCCTGCCATTAATCCCCTGAGTTATGCGGTGTCCTCCCAGGAAGCTGTGCCAGCTGAAGAACATCCCGGTGCGAGGTCAGGGTGTGGGAGCCCCGGCAGTGGGGGATGAGCCGGAGGGGGCTGGGCAGGGCTGTAATTCCTGCGGCAGAGCCGACACTCATTTCCCGCCTGTCCGTCTTGGCCCATTAAAATCTGCCGTGTAGCTCCAGGGTGGGAAGTGTAACCTTGTGTTCCCGGAGTGTCAGCATCTCGCTCTGCTGCTGTTTACAGCCACCTTTGTCACCGTCAGCGCGGGATCAGCTTCTCCTTGAGGCCGGCTGATCATCCCCGCTGCTCCCAGCAGCCACCTCTGAACACTTGTGGAATTGGAATAGGTTTGTCTCTTTACAGCCACTCAGAGCAAGGTCCTGGCATGTGCACAGGATGCAACTACAGGAGACAACACCCCTTTAAGTGAGGGTAAACCCTTAAGAGGATCCCCTTTTCTTTTGGAATCTCAGTTTCCCTTGTTTCCCCCGCGTTTCTAACATCTCTCCTTAGTGTAATAAAGTAATCTTTTTAGCTTGTTTTGTCCCTCCCTAGCAGAGTCTTGTAGCTTTCTAACCACCCTGTGCTGCTTTTGAGGTGTTTTCAAGAGCTTGAACACGTTTGCTGAAGCTGCTGCAGCCGAAATTGCAGCTCTGGGGGTTGTACCTGTGAGAGCTTCCAACAGGAGCCTGGGTCACAGGGAGAACCCCAGGAAACACAGGCCTTTCCACATGCTGCTTGTTTGTTTGGGGTGTTTTTTTTCCCTGACACAAAACATTTTCTTGCTGGAAGAAGCACTACTTGTAAACATAACAGTACTGGTTGTAAATGTAAAACTCTCTTAGTTGCTCGTTAAGTTGCAAAATCCCTGGGTCTTGATATGAGGAGCGGGGTATTTTCTTTTGTAGGATAATGTAACTTCTTTTTTTTTTTTTTTTTTTCCTAGCATGTGCTCTTTCTGTTTCTTGCTGCAGATGAGAGCAGTTAGCTCTGAAACATGGACATTTTATTCCCCTTTTTACAGGCTGTTGAAGGGTACAAGGTAGCAAGAATTACTGCTGCCTCTCTAACAATTAGTGTAGAGTTTGTTGGAATGTGCTGCAGCCCTTGTGGCTTTTCCCCACCCCTTGTTAAACCGATTTTCAAATATTTAAGGGTCATGACAATGGCCAGAATACTTTTAACACCCCTTTTTGTTGGAACATCAGTAAGGTACCCTGCTCTGAGTGACAGACAGGAGAATTATTAGATCCTTTCTGTTCTGTTGTCTCATTTTTCACCTTGTCTGTCCTGTTAAGCTTCCTCTCAAATAGACTGTGAGTACAGAGAAGTTCCTTTAGGTTTCCGAGGCAGGAGCTTTGCAATTGAGATTTTCACTAGTTTTTACTGGTGTAAATAGAAGCTGATGGAGCCCAACACAACAATACCGTTGTCTTTAACAATGGGAACTGAAATCTGTGAGTGGGAACGAGGAGAGGCTACAGAGCTGTGCCATAAGGTTTGGGACCTTCTCAGGGCTCATGGTAGTTAAGAGTGCTCCGAATCTGCTTTTTATGACAAAATTCTTTGGGCAAATTGAGAATCCATGCCCTTCTTCTGAAGTAGGGGATGCTCTTTCAGCCTTATCAAACCCTACAGAAAACAAGGTACATGAAATTTTTTTTTTTAAGCTTTTCTTTGCCTGAAATTGTTGTTTGAAATGAAGGCAGGAATGGTATTTCCACTGAAAAACTCCTACTTTGTTTTCAGAACACATTCTTACTCAAGGAATACCCTGTAATATCCTTATCCTTTGTTTTGAAGGTCAGAGGTTCTAGAACAGATTTGTAAAAATAATTTTTTTTTTTTTTTTTTTTTTGAAGAACTTCTGTTTCCAGAAATGATGTGAGGGGCTAAAGTGTGCTGGAGGGACGCTCCCCATCACACTTCTGCTTTCCTTTTTCCCCACCCTTTATTGTTGGAGACAAGATTTATACCTGTTTACTGTACAAATTTTCCATCCTCCACGGCGGGTTCGTTCGCAGTGGTGGCTGCACCGAACGATTCTCGAAAAGTAAATCTATCCAGAGGGGATTTCCAGACAGCCAGTAGGCAACTAACTTACAGCCCCCAGTGAAACATTAGTCAGGATAATTTACTGTCAGCAGGAGAGGAGGAGAGACCACGAGCTCGGTGACCTCCAGGCCAGCAGGACCCTCGCGGGTGATGTCGATGCTGCTCTCGGTTTGGTGAGGTCCTGGATGTGCTGCTGGGGCTTCCCAGGGCTGGGCAATAACTCCCTCAGGCCGTGCAGGGCAATTGCAGTGCAGGATTTGGGTTTCTTGGGCCACGAGCAGGGAGCCAGAGGTGTGGGAGTGCCTGGCACGGCCTCCCTTGGTTTGCTGCAGGGAGCTCTGGGATTTACTGAGCAGGGCTCTCTTTGTGTTTGACCTTCTGAGAAGTTCGAGATTATTGGTTTTTTGTCCGTTTTTCTCTCTTTCTTCTGGGTGTTCATTGACTTCTTCTGTCGCTCATGCAAAGTGCACTCACTTAATCCGTCAATTCCCTTTACTCCGTTGATTTAGACAAATATATTAATATGTGCAAAGTGCACAGATGCAAATTTACTTACTGAGCACAGTTAAAGAAACACTGTCATGCCAAGTTAAATTGCCCATTTGAGGTCAGTG